GAGGAAACTGAGGCTCAAAGAGTTCTAGTGAGTTTGTCAATTATGATGCAGCTAGAAAGTACCAGAACTTGGATTTGAACTTGGGCCCCCAGACTCCTGTTCCCGGGTTGTTTCTACTGCACATTAGCAAACAACCAGAGGATAATGCAAGTGAATAGAAAGAATATTTCATGGCAACACGAGGACTCTAAACATCATCACCAATGAGAAAAAAATCATAATAAGAGCATTAGCTGAGATTCATTAAGAGCTTACTCTGTGCCAGGTGTATGTGTATTTGAAATACATTATCTCTAGAATCTTCCCCCCTAAAAAAACCCCATGGAATGGAAGCTATTATCGTTATTTTATTTTTTCTGGTATGTGGGCCTCTCACTGCCCTGGCCTCTCCCGTTGCGGAGCACAGGCTCCAGACGCACAGGCTCAGCGGCCATGGCTTACGGGCCCAGCCGCCCCACGGCGTGTGGGATCCTCCTGGACCGGGTCACGAACCCCTGTCCCCTGCATCAGCAGGCGGACTCTCAACCACTGAGCCACCAGGGAAGCCCCTATCCTTATTTTATAGCTGCAGATATGAGGTCCAGGGGCATCAACAAGCCTCAGTTTACACAGTTAATACGGAGCAGAGCAGAAATTCAAACTTGGGAGTCTCAGACCACAAAGTTTAGCCACTGTTCTCCTGTGAGTCCGTTCAGTGTCAGGCAAACTGCCCTTTGATTGTAACTGAGTTGATGATAATAATTATTATACCTTCCTTTCTGGGGCTTTTAATGTTTCTTTTTTTTTTCGCGGTACATGGGCCTCTCACTGTTGTGGCCTCTCCCGTTGCGGAGCACAGGCTCCGGACGTGCAGGCTCAGTGGCCATGGCTCACGGGCCCAGCCACTCTGTGGCATGCAGTATCTTCCCGGACCGGGGAACGAACCCGTGTCCCCCGCATCGGCAGGCGGACTCTCAACCACTGCGCCACCAGGGAAGCCCTAATGTTTCTATTTTAAGAGAACTTTCACAGTCCTTTGACAAAATTTTCCACATTTCAAAACCAGGTGTTTTGGTGTCATGTCCTGAGTGATGGAAATATTTCTGGTCTCAGCTGTGAAAACATAATTGGTAGATAGCCACAAAGAATATGAACACGGCTGCAGAGTAGGTTGTTATCAGCCTGGGGTCAACATCTCTGTGTACCTTCCCCGGGCCCCCTGGTGCCCAGTCAGGAAGCTGGGAAAGACTGCTTCTCCCCTTGCTCCTAAAACTCCTGGCCTCTCCCTGCCCTTCACCCACTCCCCTTCAGGAGAGGAGCAGAGACTTATCTGGTAGGTAAATTGGGGAAGAATCAAGCTGTCCTCTGCTCCCTGTCTCCTTGTGGAGGGGGAGTTGTTCTCTGATCCAGTGTTGGAATTGGAAGATTCATTTCATTCTGGGGTCAGTGTGGGGAAGTCCAGTGGCCCACAGATATCTAGATTTATCAGCAATAGAGGTGACGTTTGGGCTCCCATCTGTGCTATAGATTGAATGTTTGTGTGTTCCTCCCCCTCCACAAATTCATATGTTGAAACCTAATCCCCGGTGTCATGGCATTAGGAGATGGGGGTCTTTGGGAAGTAATTAGGTCATGAAGTTGGGGCCCTCACGTGTGGGATTAGTGCCCTTACAAAAAGAGATCCAGAGAGCTCCCTTGCCCCTTCCACCACTGGAGGACACAGTGAGAAGACAGCAACTCGGAGAGGCCCTCGCCTGGCCATGATGCCCCCTGATCTCCGAATGCCAGCCTCCAAAACTGTGAGAAAGACATTTCTGTTGTTTGCCAGCCACCCAGTCTGGGGTATTTTTGTTACAGCAGCTCGAATGGACAAAGACAACCTGCTCGTTCTTCTGTCTTATTTCTCAGTTGGTTAAGAACTCTGGCTGGGAAGGGACCTACCCCAAAAGCCCATCCCAGAGGATGCTAGTTTTAAAGAGGTGTGATGTCTGGTCTATAAACGGGAACAATGATTCAGCATCAGGGATGTTTCCTTTCAGTTCACTTACTTATCCCACATTTACTGGCTAAGCACCTGCTGTATGCCTGGCCTTGCACTAGACACCCTTTAGATAAGGATGAGCTGCTCCAAGTGGGAGCAAAAGGCTTCATCAAGACTGAAAAGTTTTCCCTTCTGACCTTTTGACTGTAGAGTGGGGTCAGCTCTTTTTGAGAAGCCTAGCATCTATTTCCCATTGCCTGGGTTACAGTGCCCTGATTTTTCTTTGAGGAAATACGCACCCCCTCATGCGTCACCCCGGTGGGACTGTCCAGGCACTCTACCCTTTCCTAGCGGAGGGATGAATCCACAGCCGAGGTTAAGTCAACACACTGCAGATTCTGGGACGGTTGATCTTCACCAGAGTGAGGCAGGGTGGAAAGCAAACTAGCTCCCCTACTCCAGAAGAATACTTTTGAGAAGTCTGCTTGCTCCCTAGATGCATGGGACGGCTCTGGTTCTCTCTCTGTCTTCCTCCCTTCCTCTCTTTTTCCTTCCTTAGCTCTCAATTCCCCATCTGTGAGTGACTCAGTATCAGTCCCTTAAACTCTTCTCAGCACAGGTCAGCCAGAGTTGGTTGCCTTTGCAAAAGAAAATACAACCCCACTGTCTGCACATGGACTGGAAGAATTAGAACCTTGGGTTCCACACCTTCACCTAACAGCTGGGGAAAATGAAGTTAAGAGGAGACTTTCCAGTTTGGGGTCGAGGAGGCCTTGTGGCTTGATGATTAACAGCACGAGTTCTTCAGTCATCTGGTCTGGACATAAAGCCTGCCTCTGCCATTTTGTAGTTATTGATTGATACGGGACACATTAACTTCCAAGCTTCAGGTCATCATCTCTGAATATAGGATACTAATAGTACCTAGCTCCCAGGGCTGGGAACACTATGAAGTGCATAATAACCTTTGGCTGTTATTTTAGTGATTATTCTTCTAGATTTCTTCTGAGAAGTCATGCAAAACAGGAATGTAAATTGCAAAAAAGATGCTGAGCAGGGAGGCACTAAAGAAAGCCTTTCTCCAAAGGGGATGTTTATTTCAGAGGCACACAGGGGGAGGCTCAACCAGCTGTTTTCCAGGAAATCATCCACTTAACCCAGGGTGAGCTCTAAATTTTAATGACCAGCCAGTGTCGAAGGACTGGAAAAAGAAGAAAACAAACAAGGATGATGTAAAAATCCAGCCACACACTGTATACACTCTGAGGTCTCCAATATTTAATCGGATTCCTGAGTTTGGAGGTGGTTCCCACCTCCATCAGGAAAAGAATCATAACCATCACTAATACTGGCAGCTAAAAAATGAACTTAATATCAGAAACCAAATACCAAGGCTCACTAGGATCTTGGAAACAGATGTAATTGATTAATCCATACGCGTTGGATTAAAAGTCTGGGGGTGGGGAGGGGAGCTCTGTACTGGAATTTTCTTCTGCCACAAATGCTCTCCCCAGTCCCCCACTTCCCTGTACACCCAAACTCTCTCATCTCACCTCAAATGTCACCTCCTCTGAGAAGCCTTCCCAGTTCTAATGGAGCTATGATCTCAGAAGGTCCTCTTTCTTCCCAGCAATACCAAGTTTGTAATGAGATGCTTTTTGCAGTTGTTGGATCAGTTTTTTTTCCCCAAGTAGACTGCAAGTTCCAGGTGACCAGAGATCTTGTTTGTTGTATATACTACTGTAGAACAGGTTAGATTGGTTTCAGACCCACAACTGAAACTCTGTGTATCTTTGTTGATTTAATGACTTCGGCAATGTTCTATTATCATTCATTCACTCACTATATGAGAACTTAAATCTTCAGCATGAATACTATATATTCATGCTAAAGAATATTTAGCATGAATACTTCTCATTCAATTAATTATTAATAACCTATAAGTGTTTACTATCTGCCAGGCAGTCTGCCCACAAATGTGGGCAATGAGGACACAGCCGTGACAAAGAAACAAAAATCTCCACCCTCATGGAACTTAGGGGGAAGGGACCATCAATGAATACATAAATATGATAAGTTTGTGGAGCCTTAAGTGCTTTGGAGAAAAATAAGTAGAGGAGAGAGATAGGGAGGGTCAGGATGGGGGCAATTTTGAAGAGAGATGCTGGAGAAAGCCTCCTTGGGCAGAGACCCCGACAAGTGAGGGAACACAGTGAGGGGCACCTGGGGGATAATTCCGGAAAGAGCAGCAGGTGCAAAGGTCTGAGGGGGTGTGTCCTTGGTCAGTGTGGCCACAGTGGAGAAAGCAAGGGAAAGAGGGTGGGTGAGGCAGTCAGGGGAGCAGATGCGTGCAGGTCACCGAAGGACTTGTTTAGATTTTGCTCTGAGATGGGGAGTCATTGGAAAGACACATCTGGGAAGAGATGTGGGAATTAAAATTATTTTCGATGGAATTCCCTGGTGGTCCAGTGGTTAGGACTCCACTCTCACTGCCAAGGGCCTGGGTTCAATCCTTTGTCAGGGAACTAAAGATTCCACAAACCGTGCGGAGCGGCTAAAAAAAAAAAAAAAAAAAAAATTCAAATAACCTGACTCTGGAGACTAAATGGAAAGGGGGACCCAGGGAGATGTAGGGGGTTGTTAGGCAGCTCCAGGAACCCTTTTTCTGCCTGCACCAGGGCAGGGGCTCACGTGGCAGATGAGTTGTCAGGCTCTGTGAAGGTAAGAGCACCAGGAAGTGCTGAAGGATTGAAGGTGGGATGTGAGGGGAGAAAGGGGTGTCAGGGGTGACTCCAATACTTCTGGCCTGAGTCACAGAATGAACAGTTGCCACGAGCAGAGTACTATGAGGAAAGCAGGTTGGAGAGAGGTGGTGATGGTGGGGAGGGAGAATTCCAGAGGCTGGGTTTCACGCATGTGATGTTTCAGACTATTTTTATAACATCCAACTGGAGATACTGACAGGACAGACACAGTCCTTGCCTCTCTGGGAACCTATATCCTAGTGAGGGAGAAATCCCGTCAACACCACAACTAAGAGACAACCTAACCTGTCATACAGTGCCAGGTGTCGTGATGGTCATGTGATGGGGAGTGGTGACTGTCATAGTTGACTGGGGGCGGCCTCGGTGGGCAGGTGACGGGAGAGCTGAGACCCAGGACAGGGACAGCAAAGCCAAGTCCCGGAGGAAGGAATGAACTTAGTGAGTTAGAGGAATAGAAGGAAAGCAACTCCAGAAGGCTTACCCACAGCTGGGTCTTACTTTACATGTGATGGGAAGCTGACTTGGAGGATGTGGTCACCTGATTTCCATTTTTAAAAAAGGTAACTTTGGAGACTGGATTAGCATTAGAGGGAGCAGGAAACCTGATTGGCAGTCCATTAACCGTCGTCTAGCCAAACAGGACGTCGCCTTGGAAGGCCACTGGAGATGGAGTAAATCAGAGAGATGTGGAATCTGCTTTGGAGGCAGGGCCAGCAGGATGAAATAAGAATCCAGGATGCTGCTGCAGTCTTGGGGTAAGTCGTTGAAGGCTACCATGAGCTAAGTGGGGGCGACACAGCTAGGAGGATCCAAGCCCTCTTTGGTCACATCAACTTTGAAATGAATGAGGAAGGAGGCACAGGGAGATCATATTGGCATTTTTTTAATGTTAGTAAAACATACATAATCGCAAATTGGAACTATCCAGCTTGATGAATTTTCCCAAAGTTGTCACATATCCGGGAAATCAGCACCCTGAAAGTCCCCGTGTCCTCTCCTAATCATTCTTCTTTCCCCAAAGTAACCTCTGTCCTAGTCTGACATAGTTTTACTGGCATTTTTAAACCTATGATTAAGAGATAATAATCAGAGGTAAGCGTGGGGCATTTGCTTATGTAATTCTCAGAAAAATAACCTCACTTGGTTTTTTAGACTAAGGCTTTGTTTTCTTTTATCGTAATTTTGAGGTTTGCTCGTGCGTCTTTTTCTCCTTCTTCCCACAGGAGGTGCTCACGTGGAGTGTGAGGTCTCGCCGGACCCCAGGCTGGCAGGTGGCCTTTGTCTCCGTGAGTCAGAAGGGCATCAAACCACGGCCCGAGGTTTAACCGCGAAGCCCTGCCCCTGGCACCGAGCAGGTCCTCCCCCCCCCCACCCCCTTCCCCTCTGCGTTTCATTTTACTCGTCCAGTCCCAACAGAAGGCTCTTCATAAGGCACCGTCGTCAGTTTATAGTGCTTGCAGTGTTTTAACACTTTAATGACATGACAGCCAATTTTATTCTGTCCTGGGAATTACTCTCTTCTGTTTCTGTTTCTCTCCCTCCCTCTCTCTCTTCTCCTCCTCCTCCCGTCTCACTGTTCCTGTGATTATTTCTTTTGGAAATAATTCCTCTCACACTCTGCCTCCATAAATCTCTGAATCCCGGCAGATGGAACAAGGCTGCTATTACGAGGGAACAGAATCAACAGGGAAGCGGCAAGCGGGAGGCAAGCTTTATGCTCTGTGGTTTCGCCCCAGTAGGAGGACGTGATGGCACCTCCAGGACAAAAGGTTCATCTTTTCAACTACTTTGACTTCTCAGGAGCCCCCCAGCCCTGTGGTCTTTTTATGAGAGAACTGTTTTCACCTCCTTGGCTCTGCACATGTTTTCTACATAATATTAAACAGTAACCTTTGAGTCCCCACATACTGGACGCACAGACCACAGTACACACAGACACGCACACACACACACGCACACACACACTCTGGCAAAGATAAAACAACTTTTAACTTAATTTGGCTCTTCCTTTTTTTTCTTTAACACCTTGAGATATAATTTACATGCTGTAAAATTCACCCATTTTTAGCCATGTAGTTCGATGTTTTTCTTATTTACCGAGTTGTATACTGGCTGTTTCTTTTTGAAAATGGAGCCCGTGGGTGAACATTTTGACCCCACGTGCTCCCTCCTCACTTTGAAAGGTGACATCTAAAGTGCAGAGAGCAACTTCTGTTTCACCCCCAAAATAGTTGTTTTATTCATTCTGCCATTTACAACTTACTTCCTGTGTTTTGATTCTGAGCTGCTCAGACCTGCTTCTTAGAAGCCAGGTGGGATTCATTTTTTACACTGTCACGAAGTTTCTCTTGTGTTAGAGGAATTTTCTGTTTGCTTGTTTGTTTTGTTAGTGTTTAGTGAGTCTTCAGATCTTTGTTTCATCTGCTGGGCTAATTAGAGAGACTTGAAATGTATCTTTGTGACACGAGAGACTATATAGAAATATTTGGTATTTAAAGCTCAGCTCAAACGGTCACAGCATTCTGACTGCTGAGATTGGTAAAAAGAAAAAAAAATGAAGTTACCAAGAAATAGAAATAGGGCATGGAGGCCTAGAACTTTTTCCTAATATTACATCTTCATCTATAGTTCGGTCTTGATATCTGAGTCTTTCTCATCTGAAAAGCAGAAATGAAAATAATCACTTTAGGAGATCTGCCTGAGGACTGCATGAGCTAATTCACTTGAAAACACCTAGAATGCTAACAATTTTTAAAAATTTATAAATGTTCATTGGATACAAATCCTAAGGAACTTCACCAATGGCATAAGGATCGTGTTTTGGCCACGACACGGTACATTAATAAAAGCATAGCACCTGCTGTTGAAGACTGTGTACCAGCTTAACCAATTGTTCAACGAACAGGTAATGACGCTTGCTGTGTGCCAGGCACCGGGGATAGAATGGTGGACAGGCAGGTACAGTTGGATGGAAGAGAGATGTTCAACACATAGTTGAGCAAATAAGTATCTAAGTACAAACTGTGCAAGGGTTAAAGAAACCATTCTGGTATGTGTGTATGCATGTGTGTGTGCGCATTTAAAGCAATTTAAGGTATATTTTGCTAGTAAATGTATACCTATGGGCATAGAGAAATTTTCTGGAACAACTCATGAGAAATTGGTTACAAGTGTTTCTTTTTGTACATAGATAGGGGAATGTCTTCTACTTTTTATTCTGTAACTTTTCTATGCAATTTCAAGTTTCTAACTATAAGCATGTACTTTTGTTTAGCTGTTTAAATATCAGTAGGCTTCTCTGATCAGTAGGCTGGGAGTCCATTATTATTTTCTTCATTAGACTTCTATTAAAAAACAACCTGTTATTTAAAATGAACAAATGATTAACCGCTTGCAATATTTAACTTGTCATGCCAATTAAATATTAAATATTACACTTGAGAAGACAAAGGTCATTTACAAGAGTGCAAGACTGCATCAACCCACACTAAATTGTTACCACCTGCTCGCGCCCCCAGTTTGCCCAGACAACACTTTCATTCAACAGATATTTACTGAGCGCCTACTGTGTACTAGGTAGGCATTGTTCTGAGCACTACTAGATAAAACAAAGCCATCAGGGAGTCAGGCTAGATTCTAGTTGGAGGAAACAGACAAATAAGTAAACCAAATACATATTTATATATAATATGTGCTATAAAAAATTAAAGCAGGGCTGGCGGGCAAGTGACGGCTGGTGCCCTCTGTTCATCATATAGAATACACTCTGTAGTTGTATCACTGGAAAGAAAGACTGGGAGGCCTGAGAAGGTGCCATTTCAGCCTGGATGAGGGAAGGAGGGAATGAGCCATGCAGATAAATGACTGCCAAAAGGACCAGTAAAGGCTCTGAAATGGGAAAGCTGGAAACCAGCAAATCTTGGCAGTAAGTACGTGTACTGACCATTGCACCATTCATTCTGTCCATTTGTCACAGCGTTCAAAACACTTCATTTAAAATTTAAAAAAAAATACTCAAAATGAACACTGATAGCTTCATTATTGTACATACAGGGCTCAGATTATGTGGTTCTGGGCACTGCTTCTCTTGTTCGATATTTAATAAAAAATAGTTGATGTGAACTATACATCCTAGTGAAACAGAGATACATCTTTATTAAGACGTGTTTTAAACTTCTTTAGCCATATCGTCATTCCGATACATTTTTATTATTCTAACAGTATCTCATAAAATGTGTATTACTGTACTACATGCCCATTTCTAGCCACTGAAAATTAAATTAGTGAATATTAATTACTTCACAGTCATAAGGAAAAGGATCCTGAGATGCATTGTTTCCCGTCTACTCTGAGATGCTTCCCAGCAGGAGGGGCACAACGATAGGTAAGTGAATCCATGAACTACTTGAAATAACAAGAAAAAAAGCTGACAATAACTAGCCTTAGCTCACCATCTAGCTGTATAAGCTGGGATGCACTTCCTGCTGTGGTCCCCACCTGTAAAATGAAGGGCAGCTATTACGTTGTCTGAGTCCTTTGATTCCTTCTCTTGCTCTCTCTCTCATATTCTGAGATCTAACTTTATGAATTGATTAAAATAACTGCTTTGTAACCAGTGATTTTCACTATCGCTGGCTGAACACTAAGTTAATCTTCTCTTCCTCCTTCAAACAGGATTCTGTGGGTGGGTTGCCCTATAACAGTGGTTCTCAACCTGAGGCGATCCGAACGCCCTCCCCACCCCCCTTCTAGGGGACACGTGGCAGCTACAGGAGCCGAGGTTACCTGTCATGACTGTGGGGGGTGCCTCCAGCATCTGGGGTCTAGGCCCAGGAAGCTGGTAGACACCCCACAACGCACAGGACAGCCCCCTGCAACGCAGAATGACCCAGTCCAAATGTCAACAGTGCCGAAAATGAGAATCTCCGGTCTAGAGAAACTGGAAAAGATGGAGAAGGGAGGAAATGAATGGAGGGCACTGCCTACTTATGTCCAGCTGGTATTTTCCCACCTAAGAAACAACACAGCAACTTTGGTCTTTTTTGATGCTGATTCTCCTCTATTGATTACGCTTTATTATTCCTGAAGACTTGGGTGTGTGACTTAAATAACCCCACGTTAGACACAAGCACAACAGAATAAATGAAAACTGGAGGGCAAATTCTAACATGTACCATAACTATAAGAACATTCTTTCTAAGGCTTGAAAAAGTCTTCAGATCCTTGGTTTAATTTAATCGACAATGCGTTCATCTGCATATGGCATTCAGCAGCAAAATAAACTTTTTTTCCTGCGTCTTTTGTTTCCGAATCAATGGGGAACAAAGGATATCCCGGTTCCATTCAGGCAGTTTCAATGATTCTCAAACGTGGGAGTAGTAGTCGAGCCATTTAAAATACAGTGATGAGAAAGCATACTTAGTAACCTTGTAAACATGCTATGAAAGTACAAGGGAACCTTTAAGAAGGATATCCAAATGTCCTTTTTATATAATAGCCCTTTGTACTATGAAATGTTCAGAAGTCCATAAAATGGAATTGAACAGAACAGACTAGAAGAGTGCAATTTCCAAGTGTTCTAGTAATGGTGCTGTTAAAACATTATTTTTGTTTCTTAACACTCAGAAAATTAAGTTTCCTCACCCCAGGATCAGCCCTACTCACAGAAAGGACTTTGGACCCATATTTAACCAACCGTCAGAAGGGATTCAAAAGGAGGCTAATTGAACACTGAGGTTTTTGAAGCTCTCAAACGATGACCCAAGTGTTTTCTTGAAAACAGCAGCAGCTTGGCAGGAAGCAGGAATTAGACAAGAGAATTGATGGAAACCTGCCCTCCAAATGGGAAGAAAAACTTCCAATAACAAACTGTGAGGTTTGAAATCACTGCGTGTTATATATTCATTATTCAAATGGCCACCGCCCTTATTGCCTGGCATCTTCTCCTGCTTCTGAGCTGCCCCAAGAAACGCACTTTAGTAAGGATGATCCCCCCTGTCTGAGGAAAGGGAAACCCCTCTTTGTCTCCCCATTCTGCCCCCCGCTTCTATCTGCATTCTCGCTCTGTTCTAGCTGCATGTTTTGCAATCCCCTCCAGTGTTCCAAAGGCCAATGAAATCAGTCTCCCATAAGGGTACCCAGCCAAGTACACTCACTGCTCAACTGTATTTTTCTCTTTCTTAGCCCTTTCACCCACTGATTTCAAATTTCTCTTTAACAGGCCAGCTATGGCAGACCTCAACCGAGTAAGTGATGAAAAGGCAAGCTAGGAAACCACACAGGTAAGGTTTCTCGAAGAGGAGAGCAGCCCGATGTTTCTCATCTAAATCCTGAGGCCTCACTCCAGCCTACAAAGACAAGTGGCAGGAAACTAACAGCAATAATCAAAATGAGCTCAGCTGGCCTCGAATTGCTTTTAAAAAAGTGTGTGGAGGGGAAGGAGTACAGGCACTCTGCCCAGGAGAACCTAGAGAGAAAGAAATCTTCTCTCCTAAAAATCCCTGAAGTTTGCTGCCAGTGATTCAGTACATACCTGACCAAAAAAAGAAAATTTCCTACCCTAACTGGTTTGGCTGTTTCCCGGCTACTACCTAGAGAAGTAAACAGAACCTTATCATCTCAGTTACATCTGATTTGGACTTTTTTTTTCCCAAGTAAATATTTGTAATTTCAATGCAGTTCCATTACTGCCACTGCTGTCTTTGAATTGGACTGACTGACAATACTGTCTTGGATGACGCCGACTCCATAGCAACAAGCCAGGGAAGCCTGTACCTTCCTCCCAGCTGGCCTCCCTGTGGCCACTGGGAGGGCTGGGGGAGTATTTGGTGACTGGGGACCTCGCACTTATCTTAGGTTGTAGCTGAACGGAGAAACGTTCTTCCTTTGCCCTCTGGGCCCCTCAGTCGGTCAGGATTTCTGCTGATCGCTCTGCACCTCTCAATGAATCCAGCACTCTGGGCATTTTTCTCTCTTTATTCAGGAAGTGGCGAGCTGAGCCCTGAGATTCTTTCTGCTCCGATGATATAAACAAATTGCAGAGGAAGTCAAGTCAAACTTTCCCTTGCTGCTTTTGTTCTCCCAACTAGCAATTCAGAAAACAGAGCCAACTTTTTTTCTTTTTGGATGCCTTTGAAAGATTGCTCTTAACTGGAAAGGCAGAAACCCTCTTTTTTTTTTTTAAACAAAGATACTCAACTTATTTTTTCAAAAAAGAAATGCCCTAGACGGGTTTGTTTTTTTTTAAAAAGGCCGTTTCTGAGACTTTTCAAACCAAATTGCTTCCCTGACATTGCATACTTACCTAATGGTGGTTCTTCCCTTCAAATTTCAACCAAAAGAGCAATAATGAGCTTCGTGAGGACAATGGCTAAACCTGACTGGAGGCTCCTGGGGCCCTAATTCACAACCAAGGAGAGGCAACAGTCACGATTCAATAAGGGTGCTAGTACAAGGCACACGCCAGACAGAAAGGAGACATCTTATCTGTATAATCTACAGACGCTGCTTGAAAAATCACACATAATTAAGCCCTTCTCACAGTGGAAGCTACTTGAAGCTTTATCACCAGCTTGTAAGATGTCATCTCTGGGCTTCACTGATGGCTCTGAGTGAACATTTCCAAACCAGAGGCATCTGACAATCCGGGTGACGTGTTTACCATGCCTACCTTAGTCATCTAACTAAGAAGCTCTGCACTACATAACTGAAGGAAAGCAGAATGGCGGGGATGGCCCTGCGGTGGCTTCCCACACTGGGTGTTCTGTTACATTAATCCTGGTGCAAGAAATAAGACGTGACAGTCATATGCATATCTATATGCCACGCTTGCCTGTCCTCAACTGGCCCTCCCTGTACACAGGTGGGTAGTCAACTTTCAAAACAGCCTGATTTTCTAGTGAAGCATGTTAGAGTTCAAATACAGGCTCAAGCTACTTACTGCATCTCTGTGTTCCCTTCTTTACTATAGGGATATGTTCTAACATGGCAGTGCTGTTACATGGGTTAAAAATAATAATATATAGAGATATCTCACCCCAGTGTGTGGCATAATAACTACCTACTCTCAAAGGTAGTTGTTAATAAAATTCATAACACTGAGTTCCCCGGGTCAGGAAAAACTAGCATTGGTAGAAGCTGAACATCGTAGTATTTGCAAGGTTATTTCTATGTCAGAACATGTTTGTTCAATCATGATCATCCCTGCCCTCCTTATCTACAAACATATATATACTGGAGATATTTATAGACTACTAGGTATATAAAATCATTTATGCAAGTTGTAATTGTGCAATTACTGAATAAACAGTAGATGAAAGGAAAATGTGAGGTTCTGAAAGCTGGCTTTAATTCATGGCTTTCTTTTTTTTTTTGGCTGCGTTGGGTCTTCGTTGCTGCGCGCAGGCTTTCTCTAGTTGCAGCCAGCGGGGGCTACTCTTCGTTGCGGTGCACGGGCTTCTCATTGCGGTGGCTCCTCTTGTTGCGGAGCAGGGCTCTAGGCATGCGGGCTCAGTAGTTGTGGCTCGCGGGCTCTAGAGCGCAGGCTCAGTAGCTGTGGCGCGCAGGCTTAGTTGCTCTGCAGCATGTGGGATCTTCCCAGACCAGGGCTTGAACCCATGTCCCCTGCATTTGGCAGGCAGATTCCTAACCACTGTGCCACCAGGGAAGCCCTAATTCATGTTTTATCTTATATTCATTAAACTATTTATTTACTCGTCTACACTCTCCTCTCTGTTGATTATCTTCCAGGCACGCATTTCCCTTGAGCAACATCAGATGAGAAAGCAATCGCTTTTCCATTGCAGGGGAAACAGAGAAACAGGAAACCCAGAGGCAACGACTTGCTTGGAGGCCTCCAAGGTATGCACAGCAGTGTTAGAAGCTGTGTGCACCTCCACACCCCATAACTACTTTTAAAGCTTTGATGTAGAAACGTGCAATACCTACAATGCTCCTGAATTTCTGTAAAGCAATAGAGCGATCATGCACTGATGCAACTGCCATACATTTATAGAATTCAACATTGCGTTCAACAAACTATGTCAAATACCCACCAAGTGCTGGGCACTAGGATACAAAAAGGAGTAGTCATCAGTGCTGGCTGGCCCCAAATGAAGACTAGACACACACTTAAAGGACCAGAAAAGCAGGGACACCATTACAATCCCTCTTGACTGCCAAAGGAGACAACCAGAAAATTCAGAAAAGCTATTTTTAACATGTACGTGTTTTTGTCTCTTTGAAAAATATAACTTTTCATTTTAGTTTGGATTTTTTTTTTTTTTTTGCGGTACGCGGGCCTCTCACTGTTGTGGCCTCTCCTGTTGCGGAGAACAGGCTCCGGACGCTCAGGCTCAGCGGCCATGGCTCACGGGCCCAGCCGCTCCACGGCATGTGGGATCTTCCCGGACCGGGGCACGAACCCGTGTCCCCTGCATCGGCAGGTGGACTCTCAACCACTGCGCCACCAGGGGAGCCCTTAGTTTGATTTTTATTTTAGCTTTTATTTGGTTACGGGTCTTGGGATAGCGTGTATCACTGTTCAGGAAATACACCTCTCCCACGCCTGCTTTGGATGGAATATACTTCCCTGACCCACTGATTTGGGCTCAGTCATGTAACTTTGCTGGTAATAGGCTGTTAGCAAGCAGGATGCAAGCAAAGCCTTAGAATGTGTTTACACCGCGGGTCTCACTCTTTTTGCATGTCCAACGGTGCTGTGAGAAGAACATGCCTGTTCATTCAAGGAGGATGAGAGACACCTAGAGCAGACCCTGATGCAACCCACACCTTGAAGCCCAGCCCAGACAGTCTAGATCATCTGAAAACCAGCCAACTTGCAGATGCTTTTATGAGATTAAATAATTATTGTTTTAAGCCACTGAGCTTTGGGTGATTTGTTACATGACATTAGCATGGCAATAGCTGACTGATGTAGGCCTCATAATACTTATAGGTCTTAATCTGTCCGTGGGCATACCGTGACAGATACTAAATTACCCACCCCCCCCAAAAAAAGTAATTAAAAAAAAATGCTTCAGGGCTTCCCTGGTGGCGCAGTGGTTGAGAGTCCACCTGCTGATGCAGGGGACACGGGTTCGTGCCCCGGTCCAGGAAGATCCCACATGCCGCGGAGCGGCTGGGCCCATGAGCCATGGCCGCTGAGCCTGCGCGTCCGGAGCCTGTGCTCCGCAACAGGAGAGGCCACAACAGTGAGAGGCCAACGTACCGCCAGAAAAAAAAAAAAAAAAAAAAAAAAAAAAGCTTCAAACACTTGTCTTACTGATTTGTTATGTAAATCAAGATCAGTTATAGCCTTTCATGGACTAAATGAAACTTTAGGTCCATAATGTTTAAATGAAACAGCATATGGTTAAAAAATAAAAGAGGTATGAGGCACCAGATGAAAGCCTTCATTTCGACAAATGCTTCATTCCAAAAACATTTTTCACTCAAAGAGATACTGGTTGTACTCTTGTGTTCAACCCTGAAGATACAGTACTAAGTATTAATAGCTAACCCTTATCAATTGCTTACCAGGTACTGGGTTTCGTTTTTTGGTTTTTTACTAGTATTTTTTTGGAAGTATAATTGATTTACAATGTTGTGTTAGTTTCAGGTGTACAGCAAAGTGATTCAGAAATATATATATACACACACATATATATATATACACACACACATTTTTCAGATTCTTTTCCATTATAGGTTATTACAAGATGTTGAATATAGTTCCCTGTGCTATACAGTAGGTCCTTGTTTATTTTATATATAGTAGTGCGTATCTGTTAATCCCAAACTCCTAATTTATCCTTCTTCCCCTCCCTTTCCCCTTTGGCAACCATAAGATTGTTTTTTTATGTCTGTGAGTCTATTTCTGTTTCGTAATAAGTTCATTTATATCATTTTTTTTAGATTTCACATATACGTGATAGATGGTATTTGTCTTTCTGACTTACTTCACTTAGTATGATAATCTCTAAGTCCACCACACTGCTGCAAATGGCATTATTTCATTCTTTTTGATAGCTGAATAATCCATTGTGTGTGTGTGTGTGTGTGTGTGTGTGTATATATATATATATGCCACATCTTCTTTATCCATTCATCTGTCAGTGGACACTTTGGTCGCTTCCATGTCTTTGCTATTGCAAATAGTACTGCTATGAACGTTGGGGTGCATTATCTTTTTGAATTAGAGTCTTCATCTTTTTCTGATGTATGCCTAGGAGTGAGACTGCTGGATCATATAGTAACTCTATTTTTAGTTTTTTTAAGGAACCTCCAAACTCTTTTCCAGTGGCTGCACCAATTTACATTCTTACCAACAGTGTAGGAGGGTTCCCTTTTCTCCACATCCTCTCTAGCATTTATTATTTGTAGACTTTTTGATGTGGCCATACTGACCGTGTGAGGTGATACCTCACTGTGGCTTTGATTTGCATTTCTCTGATAATTAGCAATGTTAAGCATCTTTTCATGTGCCTGTTGGCCATCGGTATGTCTTCTTTGGAGAAATGTCTATTTAGGTCTTCTGCCCATTTTTTGATTGGGTTGTTTGTTTTGATATTGAGTTGTATGAGCTGTTTGTATATTTTGGAAATTAAGCCCTTGTCGGTCGCATTGTTGGCGAATATATTCTCCCAGCCCGTAGGTTGTCTTTTCCGTTTGTTTATGGCTTCCTTTGCTGCTTCCTTCTTAATGCTTTATCTACAACTTATTTAATCCTCAAAACTGAATGTAGTACTTACTATGTTTACTGTGTAGTTACTATGATTATCCCTATGTTGCAGATGAGAAAATGGAAGAAGCAAGAAGATAAGTGACTTACCCAAGCTTCCACAATTTGTAAGTGACAAAGCTGGGATTCAAACCTAGGCTGTCTGGTTTCAGAGCTCACACTCTTACCCACCCTGGGATGTTGACAGGGAATTTGCAGAGTAAAAGGGGCAGCAACCTTAACGAACAAGTCAAGTCAATAATTACAAACCATGGGCAGGACTATGATTGAAAAGAACAGGAAACAAGGGTTAAGAATAATAGAAACTGGCCTTCCCTGGTGGCACAGTGGTTAAGAATCTGCCTGCCAATGCAGGGGACACCGGTTCAAGCCCTGGTCCAGGAAGATCCCACAAGCCACGGAGCAACAAAGCCCGTGCACCACAACTACTGAGCCTGCGCACTAGAGCCCGCGAGCCACAACTACAGAGCCCACGAGGCACAGCTACTGAAGCCCACGCGCCTAGAGCCCGTGCTCCACAATGAGAGAAGCCACCGCAATAAGAAGCTGGCGCACCGCAACGAAGAGTAGCCGCCGTTCACCACAACTAGAGAAAGCCCGCGTGCAGCAACAAAGACCCAACACAGCCAAAAATTTAAAAAAAAAAAAAAGAATAATAGAAACTGTTTTAGACAGGTTGCCAGAGAAGTCTTCTCTAGGTAGGGGAAATTGCTTGAAGGATGAATATGATCAGACCAAAAATGGCTGAGAGAAGATTGTTCTCCAGAGAGAAGAACGGACAGGTTAGTCTTGAGTCAGTACACAGACTGGTATATTTTAGGGACTGAAAAATGGCCATTGCTTCAGGAGGCCAAGAAGGTGAGTGTGTCTCTTGCTCATCTCCATAGGACAGGGGTTGGTCAACAGATTTTTTGTAAAGCACCAAATACTAAATACCTTAAGCTTTGTCGGCTCTGTGGGCTCCGTCTCAATTACTCAACTCTGATGCTGCAGCATGAAAGCAGCTGTACACGGTAAGTAAATGGATGAGCATGTCTAAGTTCCAATAGAACTGTATATATGGACACTGAAATTTAAATTTCAGTGTGACAGTTCCATAAACAGCAAGTATGTGTGTGAAGACACACAGGATAGTCAAATGTGGTGCATTTCTCATATATCAGGGAACTTACATTTGATACACCTTGAGCTTGGAACTCTGGTGAGTTCTCTATCAAAGTATAAGTGATACCAGTAAAACATAATTTTGAATAAAACTAATAACTAGGTTTTTAACTAATAACTGGGTTTTTAAAATCATTCTACTAATCACGATTCTCCAGAAAAACAGAATAGGATATGTAAGTATAGGAAGAGATTATTAGGAAACTGACTCACGCCATTACGGAGGCTGAGAAGTTGCACAATTTTCTGTCTATAATCAGGCAGCCCAGGAGACCCAGGGGTGTAGTTCCAGTCTGAGTCCAAAGGCCTAAGAAACAGGAGTACCTAGGGTAAGAAAATCCATGTCCCCACTCGAGCAGTGAGTCAGGAAGGGCTGAATTCTTCCTTCCTCTGCTTTTTTGTTCTATTCAGGCTCTCAATGGACTGGATGACGCCCACCCACACTGGGGAGGGCGCACTGCTTTACAGAGTCCACTGATTCAAATGCTAATTTCATCAGGAAACACCTTCACAGCCATTCCCAGAAATAACATTTAACCAACATCTGGGCAACCCATGATCCAGTCAAGCTGACACACAAAATTAACCATTACAGTCTGCTGAAGAGGAGCACACGATAATGGTCACCCAGGAAGAAGAAGTATTGGCACTGACAAAGATAACGCAAAAGAAACGCTCCATCGTTACAAACTAGTTAATGGGTGTCATCATTCAAAGCGTATTTGAGATTCATCACTGCCCTGGAAAGCTCAAATTGCCTAAAATCTTACAGGTCATATTATAAACAACTGGACAGATGTTTTCCCAAATCTGACACAACAGTCCTAAAAATTTACATCACCTAACCAGGTAATGTGTTGCAAAGCCAAAAGAAACTTTTCTAAATTGACAACAACAAATTTTGATCAATCCTGATGGTGGAAAGATTAAATCTTCTTTCTAGTAGTCTCTCTAAAGAAAATGATAATCCAAGATCACTGTCATATTAACAGGTAATCCAAGAGCGTGCAGCCAAAATACACAGGAAACGCACATTACAGGGAAAGTCAGGTAGTTAATAAAATATAAAGATGTTATTTGGAGGGTTTTGTGATGTCAGTGCTATTTTCAGCTTTAAAAATTGGGTAATTTGTAGTATATTCTTTTATTCTAAATAAATACTAACTTTTATAACATTTTTCATAACTTTTCTACATCCTTTCTCTTAAAGCCCCCAATTTTATAACCTTCAAGGCTACCAACCTGGAACAGCTCTGATTAAGCATCTATTATAGGAGCCAGGCATCTCTAGATGCTAGAAATGTAACATTGAATGGAACAGACACTGGTGGTTTTAAAATGTCTACAAGAATCTGAAAAAGAATACATATATGTCTAACTGAATCACTCTGCTCTACACCTGAAACACTGTACATCAACCGTACTTCAATAAAAAAAATTTTTTAAGTGTAAACACATTGGGGGAAAATATTCTGTGACACTCCCCCTTCAAAAGGCAGAATATTCAAGCAGCATTATGGAAAAGTCCACATGGGGAGGAACTGAGGCCTCCAGCCAGCAGCCCTGTGAGCTCCATCTGAGAAGCAGATCCTCCAACTCCAGTCAAGCCTTTAGATGTTGGCGGCCTCGACCAACATCCTGACTATATCGTGACTACTTACAAGAAACCTTGAGCCACAGCCACCTGTCCAGAATCTCAGTGATTCCTGACCTCAGAAACGGTGTGAGATAAGACATGTTTGTTATTTTCAGCTGCTGAGTTTTGGGGTAGTTTGTTACACAGCAAGAGATAAATAATACACCACCAAAAGTCCTGTTTTCATGATTCTTACATTCCGATGTTTGTTTAGGGGCAATGAATAAATGTTGTTTGAGGAGATGATGAACGACAGTAAATCAAATAAATGTATCAGATTATTACCCATTCATTTATTTATCAAATATTTACTGAGAAGCACCATATGGTTATCTGTGTTCTAGGCATCAAGCTAGAATAATAAACGAGAAAGACAGAAAACCCTCCCTGCATGGAGCTTCCAGTCTGGTAGAAAACCAGGTTTTTGCCCTGTCTCTGATGTGACGCTCCCTCACTGCAGGACACTGGAATGAAGCCTCCATTTCCCTGTTGCAGTTACATACATTATCTGACATAATCCCCACCACAGCCCCCTCTCCCTCACCCACCTCCATTCTGGAGCCTTCCCTGGTCTCCCTTGCAACTTGGCCATGTGACACAGTTCAGGCCGGTGAAGGAGATCGCTGGGAGTTTTCTGGGCAGGTTTGTTGTCTCAAAAAGGAAAAGATGTCCTTGGTTCTACTTGCCTTCCTTTTCCCTAACTTGTGAGTAAAGCGGTTAGGCATCCTGCAAGCATGAAGAGAGAATCGCAAAGCTCTGACATTCTGGAGCCATTGAAACATAACAACTTCCTGCTCTGGACTTCCTTTTAAGTGAGGGGAAAAACAACCTAAGTCTCTGTAGGCTTTTTGGTATGGTGGTTGCTACTTACAGCTGAAAGCATTCCCAACTGATTTAATGAAACTGAAGCAGAGAACGTTTAGATAGCCAAGGTCACAAAGCCAGTGGATGGAGAGATCAGAAAGCAAAACCAGATCTGATTGACCTTAAAATCCATACCCTTAATCACGATGTTATACTGTCATTATGGTTCCCTCAAGTAAGCAAAAACGCTAGAGCAAATGTATGTGCTCCAAATAGAGTAACAAGACTATTTAATGTTGCCTCCGACTCCAGGACACTAAATCTACACGCCGATCTTAACACTTAATTGCAAATTTCTCGGAGGTCATGGAAAGTGCTGAGGAATTCCTTAATATTGATGATGACGTTGAAAATATACTAACCATGTATATATCTTTTAGAAGAGTTAATAAAAATAGATCCTATTCCTTGAGGGTCCCTTCAACAAAATATTTCTAGGGCACCTACAATGTGCCTCCTAATTTACTCCCATGATCTGTTTCTCTGTCAGACAAGTTGAGCCCGTGCTCCTCTTTTAGAGATGAGAAAATTGCAGCTCAGAGAGGTGATAGGAGCAGGGTTAAACTCAGTTCTGCCATAGCCCAGAGCCTGCATCATTGCAAGTTAGGGGGAGAGTAGTAAAATGTATCCCGTATGAGAGAGCAGAATAAATGATATTGGATATGGCAGCAACTCTGACAGTTTATACGTGAATGAATAAAATTTGGGAAATACTCTAGTGGTAGATATTGAAGTGAAATAAAACATGGGTCAATTCCTGCTCTAGCCCCATCTAGCTGTGACATTAGGTAACTCTCCCAATCTCTCTAAGCCTCAGTTTCTTCCTCTGTAAAATGGAGAGAATATTAATACAACCTCACAGAACTGTTCTGAGGACTCAATGGGGCAAAGCTGCTGGGCTCCAGGCAGGCTGTCCAGCTAGCCCTTGACAAATATTAATGGTTATCATTATTTTAATTATTGTCCCATACTTCCTCCCTATATACAAAGGAGACAGTTTTGATCCTTGTATTTCTCCTCGACAATTATGAGCACTCTCAGTACTAGAAGGAATATGTAGTAATCTGAGAGCAAAGGATCTCTGCAAAAGCAATGTCCTGAATTTTGCTAACAACGTTTTCCGTGCCCATGGCACAGAACAAAATGAAGATAGAACACGGTGAGGGTGTCTGGTGGGGAAAACAGGGTTTTGCTGCCCTGGCTTGGAGGTTCTTTTTCTACCCCCGCTCTATCCCCTACCACCGCTTCCCTTCTTGTCCACATTGATCTAGTTCTCCCTCCACAATCTTGTCCTGCAGTTACATCAGCACTTGTTTTCATTTTAATATAATAGATCCCCGACCTCTCCCCACGAAAGTAGTGTCTTGGTTTACAGGGGAAAGATGCAACACAACTGGGGGTGTCCTAATTTCCAAGGCAGTATTCGAACATGGCCCCCTGTATTCATGTCCCTTGGAGTGTAGGCTGGCCTAGTGACTGTCTACCAAATAGAATACAATAAACATGGGAGGATAGCACTTCGTGATTAGGTTACAGAGGACTGTGACTTCCACCTCTGCCAGCAGACGCTCTGTCCCTGCTCAGCTTGTACACTGATGAAGCAAGCTGTCATGTTGGGAAGCTCCACGCAGCAAGGAGCTGAGGGTGGCCTTTGACAGACAGCAAGAAAAGACCTGTAGTCCTCAGTCCAACAGCCCTTGAGGGAATGAGTCCTACCAACAGCCACATGAGCTTGGAGGCAGATTCTTCAACTGAGCCTTCAGATGAGACCCTGGCCTAAACTGACACTTTGAATGCAGACTTGTGAGAGACCCAGCTAAGCAGAGTCCAGATTCCAATCCACAGAAACTGTGAGACAGTAAGTGTGCCTTGTTATAAGCTGCCATTTGGCGCAGAGGTGTGTGTGTGTGTCTGTGTGTGTGTGTGTGTGTGTGTGTGAGAGAGATTTGTTACACAGCCATAGATAACGAATACGGACCCACCTACTCAATAAACAGGAAGAAGGGAAAGAGTTGGATCAGGATCTAGTATCTCTGGATTCTGGCCACATTCTGCCACCTACTACACGAGTGATCTTAGAAAAGGCATTTCCCTTCCTTGCCTCAATTTCTTCTGTCATAGGAGAGGGGTGAATTAAGGATTATAATTTTTTGTAGTTTTTCTCCTTAAAAACTAGTGATGTTCTGCCCTGGGTTCACTCTCTCCTTGGCAACAATCAGAATTAGATACAAGCTGTCCTGGTGAAACAGGGGTGGGGTTTTAACTCACCTCAGGCCTCACCTGAACCACTTTAGCCATTTATATGACCTGCCAGGCACAGTACTAGCAGATGCCAAGCTGGGAAAAGACATACAAGACTTTTCATGGGGGGGACCCATAGGATGGGAACACGAGAAAGGAGCCAGAGGAGGCTGGGAGAAGAGTTAGACCACAACGCTCGTCTAACCCCCTCAGAGGAGAAAAGAAGAACCAACAGGTGGGTAGGAGTAGTCTGAGTCTGTGGCACAATTCTAAGAAAGTTCTGGCAAAGCCACGTGTTTCCCAGAAACGAGCCTGCTTTAGTACCCCTGTTGCAGGCAGTCACTGGTAAGGAGAAACCTGGGGGAAATGTGGTCTTGGCACAAAGGTGGATTTCAGAGCAGGGCATCCGGACCCTCGGTCAATTACAGGCCCTGCTGCGGGAGACCCGAGAAGCACATTGTCATGGCTTCCACATCCCCTGAGGTTCCTTCTAGTCTAAAAATCCCACCCCATTGTGCAGGATGCACGTGGCCCACAGATGCATTTTGACTGGCTCACGGTGTTTAAAATAATTAGCTACAACACCAAAACCTTCATCCACAGAAAAAAATGTTGATACACTGGACATCATCGAAATTGAAAACATTTGCTCTGTGAAAGACACTGTTGAGAAAATGAAAAGATGAGCCGCACACTAGAAGGAAATGTTGGCCAATCATATATCTGACAAAGGATTCGTATCCAGAATATGTGTTTAAAAACTTTCAAACTACAATAATAAGAAAACAAACCACCCAATATTTTTAAGTGGGCAAAAGATTTGAACAGGCACAAATAAAATATATACTGACGACAAATAAGCAAATGAAAAAATGTTCAACATCTTTAGTCACCAAAATGAGAGACCACTACAAACCTATTTAGAATAGCTGAATTAAAAAAAAAAACATATCAAGTGCTGGCTTCATAGGACTGTTGTGAGGATTAAATAAAATAATGTGTGTTTGATACTTGGCAAATAATGCATCCCTAATACATGTGTTATTGGAAATTTCAAAAGAAAATTAA